TTCGAGCTACTCGAAATTCGAGCTACCCGAAATTCGAGCTACTCGAAATTCGAGCTACCCGAAATTCGAGCTACTCGAAACTTCGCCGATCAAGTTTTTGAAAAAATTATTTTAGAGTAGAACTGAAAGGAGCATATCACTAGATGCAGTTTTTGGCGCTGATTACGCTCTGAAGCCGAGAAAATAAGTTTTTCTTTCTATGCTAAGTATTTGCTGAAATGGCCTGTTCAATAAAGTGAGTGTCCACCCTTCAACACCGCTCCAAATCCACTGAAACTTTTACAAAATCTTTTCTACGTGCGGAACACCCAGAGAGTTGGCATAAAGTGCCTAAATGCTCTTGAGCTGAAATACAGATTTTCCCAAAACCCTGAGTTTTCAGAGATTTTGCCGTTGTTTTCTGTTCTGAAACACGTTTCCTCAAATGTAACGATATAGCTGAAATTAGCACAAAAAACTGCGTCGAATGACATATAACTTATTTTACTCTTGGTGAAAATTTTTGAATTTAATTCGATGTTAAGTTTTTCTGAGGTCTAGAATTTGAACAGATAATTTTTAAGGCCGCACTAAGTGTTACCGAACTCGGAAGAAAAAGAGAGAGAGGAGGGCGGTGCCTGCTAAGAAAGACCATAGTATAATCAATCATTCGCAAATAGAAGTGAATCTCATTGAAAGTCTAACACTTTCAGAAAGCTATTTTGTTTCAAACATGTATAAAGTTATTGTGGATAAATTTCCCTTCAAAAAACATTTTTTCACCAGCGGAGGAAGGTGGCAGGAGTTGAACCTGCGTCTTTCACCCGTAAAGGTGGCACTCTACCGTTGAGCTACTCCTTCTTTTCCGCAAATAAAAAATGTTTTATATAAAAACTGTTTAAGATAAATACTTGTTTGATAGAAGCACATTGAATGCGTTAGACGCATATGAATGGCTTCAACTTTTCCCCTTTACTCTCAAATTCGAAGTGCTCGACACCAATAATATTCTTCATTGTACGATACTTAGCTTTTTACCGTTACCACTCTTCGATTTTCTGTCCAAAAATTCGTGCACGTTCCAAAAAAATCGGACAAGCCTTACTTGAAGAAGCTGTAATTGGAGTTCATCTTCAAAAAAATATTGTTTTAATCTTTGAAGCAATAGTGCTTTTAATTTATCCAAGTTTGTCGATGAACCACTTGTATCTTCAAGATATTCTTTAATCTGAATGATTGCATTATAAGCTGTACCGATCGTAGAATAATGTTGACCAGAAATAAATTCTGTAGCGAATTTAAATGGACGTAAAACTGTTTCGATGGTATCTAACATTAGCCAGCCTTCACTATCTAATTCATTACCAATTAATTTGTTCCGTTGAGATTTTGAAAGTTTTAAATTTGATTTTTCATGATGCAGAGCTACAATGGCTTCTTTATTCATTAAAAATGTTTCAATTGATCGTTGTGTAGAATTCCATCTGGTTTTTGTGTCAAGATTGACTGTTCTTTTGATATTGTAACGTAATTTAACTTTGTTAACATATTCGGATATAATTGAAGATCTAGAAATTGTAAAAGGCAGTACCTTTCATTTGAAATAGATGAAATTTTCCGATTTGTAGGTAGAAGTCATCGAGAAATTCAATGAAAATATTGTTACGATTCTCAGATAATTCATAAAAGTTTTTCTTAGAAAACCCGGTCTTCAGAAAACGTTTCGAAAAAAAGTTTTTAAAAGCTATCTAGATCGATTGAGAATTTTATTTTTCAAAATGAGAGGTATTTTGAGGTTTTCTTTTGAGGGGCTTGTGAACGCAAACTAGCCTTCAAAACCCTCGGCAGGTAGTCTACACTTCATTTAAAGCAACATAGCTCCTCAGGAAAAAGTCATATAACGAATTAGTTCTTACGACGTTTTTTTCGCTCTACAAATTTGGCTCTCAATGCTTGCTAAATTTTCTTTTTGTGCAAATCGCTAAAAAGCTAGGAGACAGCAACTTGCTAGTAAAAATTATTCTGAAACTATATTCTTTAGGCAAACTTCAAAACTTAGACAAACACTTTAAAAAACTCTCTTTTTGGTATCCGTTATGAGCCTAAATTTCTTGCGTAAATCGAAAATGAAACTAGGAAATTGCATGAGAGTTTGAGTATAAGCAGAGCAATACAAATTCGATGTTCTCTTGAGCTTTGTTCCTTTTGACTTGGCTGAATATTTGAAAGAAGTGAAAAACACTATTCAGTTAATCTTCTACGGTCCGTGTAGGAAGACGTTAGCGCAGTTTTCTTTTATACAGTGATTTCTGTAACATTGCACACTACGGCTCGCAATTTCTGGCAAAAACATATTACGTATTTACTTAGTAATCATTTTAGTAATTGTTCTCATTTTTTCAACCGTGGCACCAATGTATTCTTGTTCTTCTACTGTTATTTCCGTTGCTGTTGTTCCAGTCGTCAATCTTAGAGAAGTTGCTATATCACCATTTTCTTCACATATCACACCTTCATCCCAATGATCGTTCATTCCATCATCGGCATCTTCTATTTCATCATCATTGTCATCCTCCTCCTCTAACGAACTGTCTCCCTCACCTATATCCATTATAATCTCACCATCGTTATCATCTTGTTGCTGACTAGAATAGCAGAGATTTGGAAGACAAATGACTATAAAGCAATTCAGTGTGCTCCAACGCTAGAGGCTCTATATTTCTTTACAATCTTTGACAAAAAGGATCAGATTGAATGTAGTCTCTTCTCTATGTATATGGCGCATCCGAGCGTCAAGGAAACTCATTTTTTTACAGTGTTAGCATCGCTATCTTTTGAGCAGTAACAACAAACAGGGAAAAAATTTTACGCCCGAGGTCTCCAGGAAAGAATTCTCGAGTCGGTTAGCCTGAGCGGAGTTATTAACCAAATACACGCCGTTACGAAATTCAAAAAAGGAATTATTTTAAGGATTTTCTAACTTGTGCATTTTTTCCAAAATAAAATAGTTTTATCAAAAATGTGCACGATGATAGACGTACAGTTTCTGGCAGGGACAGCTCGACAGGTTTTATAAAACCAAAACTTATTCCAATCATCAGAAATTTAATACCAAATACTCAGTTTGTGGACAATTTCATTTTCTCTATTTTCATACACCTTTCACTTTTCAGAAGAAAATGTCGAGATCAGGAAACTGAAACTAAAGATTTTTGAATTTACGAGGGATGTACCCCAACTGTCCACTCGCGTTTTGCCTGAAACTCAGTGGACTAGGGGTTATCGATGGCGCTGATCATCGTGGTGCACTTGGCTTGGGCTGCTAGGCCTCCAGAGATCGGATTTCTGGAAAACCAGTTTTCCAGAAACTGTAAAAAAATAACCAAAGCGTTTCTTAATACGACATGATTGTAGCCCGGAGATTTCTGATTAAAATGAGATATCTCCCAGCTCTGCATGACCTTTTCTTTGCAAAGTTATAGAATTTACAAGAAAAGCCCTGAATTAATTTCTTCTTATTTCTGTAGCTTTGAGCTGACAATGAACATTTAGGGCTTTTCTTGTAAATTCTATAACTTTGCAAAGAAAAGGTCATGCAGAGCTGGGAGATATCTCATTTTAATCAGAAATCTCCGGGCTACAATCATGTCTTATTAAGAAACGCTTTGGTTATTTTTTTAGAGTTTCTGGAAAACTGGTTTTCCAGAAATCCGATCTCTGGAGGCCTAGCAGCCCAAGCCAAGTGCACCACGATGATCAGCGCCACCGATAACCTCTAGTCCACTGGGTTTCAGGCAAAACGCGAGTGGACCGTTGGGGTACATCCCTCCTTAGTTTTTCAGAATCCGAATTTCATTTTCACCGGATTTAGGATCGATATCAGAAATCAAGTACAAAAACTGCTTCGAATGATTTACTTCTCAATTTTATCGAACATTAGTCAATTGTTTAACTTTTAGATTTGCAGAAGTCGGTTAGCCAAGCACGCTATTTAGTAAGTTTAATATTAAAATTTCGTGTTGTCAATTTTCTAAGATATTTCTGATCATTCCTCCCATTTAAAATCATCCATTGACGTTAGTGCGCACCGTTTCCCCCGATAGATATTTCCGTCTGCAACTTTTTGAAGTGCGGGAAAGGCGAAAATATTTTTATGTGCTGTACAATTCAATGCAAAAAGTTTTTCTGAGTATTAATTAAGAATTTTTCGTTTTGCTTATTCAAATGTGCATAAATTAAACCACTGCCTAACGCCCTCGTATTAGTACGACACACTTAACCCGTGCTAGAAACCTTTTGTTTAGAGCGGTAAAGACCTGTCTGCAATAATACTCGGCAAACAGGAAGGTACTTTTACCAAAGTAAGATGCAACATTGAACAGAAGTAGTACTCTTCAAAAGCTTTCTAAACATAAACTACACTGGCATACCTTGAACTGTTCATTGTTGTTGCTGAACTATTTTTTTGCATATCATTATCATCTTCCGTTGAAATTAATGTCATACTATCATCATAAAAATCTTCATCATTACCACCACTGCGATTTTTCAACCATAGACAAAGACCATTTGTAACGACTAAATGGAGCCGGTGTGCCATGCCCCAAATTCTTTTTGTATCTGTGTTCAA